TGTATGATCTTTTATATAAAATACAGTTTTGTGTCTACATGAAATGTCACATATGAATGTTAAAAACGTAGAAGAGTAGGGAACCTTTTGGGAAAGGAAAGTAGAATAATGGAGGGCCTGGTATGTGGTTTTGTACACTAATAAACTAAAAAGAGAGAGTATTTCTTAGGGTAGAGAGATGAAAACTGTTAGGAAGTACGATTATGGGCCAAGAATTTTGATGGGAATGGAACATGTGAATGTCACTCTGATCACTTTTATGTAGAAATTATAATTTAATTAATGAAAAATTTCTTAAGTAAAATGAAACCTTGGTCATCTTTATGATCCCATTGGCCTATCCAGCGTCTTGTTTGGGTACATGGATAATATTTAGTTAATTATCAATACTGTTTCATGTTTTATATGAAAAAAGAATATATGATACATGTTTTCTAGCCAATTTACTGAAAGTAGCTTAATTTGAGGTAGAATATGATCATGATATGTTGCCAGATTTTCAATGCTGCATCATACATTCCATTTGGAAACGCTGCCTAACTATAGCTCAGCAGGAATGAGCTTTTCCAAAAGGAGGAAAAATGACAGGCTTACTTAAAAGTCATTAAAACATCTCGAGTGCCCTCTTCTGGAAATCAGTGAATTGCACCTTAAATAGGAAAGAATATTTCATGTTTCCTTAAGGAAGTAGGTATCCTTTCTACAATATTGTTTACATGAAAGATACACTCTGTATTGAATTAAAGTTCAAGAGACACATTTTTAAAATAAAAATAAAAATTCCTAGTATTTTCATCATTATAATTTCAGAATTACACTGATTTGGGAGTACACACATTTCCTTTTCCACCCTCCCCAAACCTTACCCCAGCGAAAACAAAGAGAAAACTACATAACCATGTATTTCTGTGTTAGAAGGTATGTTTTATGATCTAGCACCATAAAAATTCAGAGAAAGGAGAGGTGAATGTGCCACAAAAGAAAACATACCGGAGGATTCCACAAAGCAGATGTAAGAGCTGGTGGCAAAGGAGTCAAGCGTTGGTTTTGTAAATAAGAGGGATAGCTTGCATTTATTTTAGTTTTTAAATATTTTTTTTCCCGTAGCAAGAGTTAATTTTTTTCTTATATTTTAAGAAGAAATTTCAAGAAGCTTAAAATTGAAAATAAATCAACTTGCGTGGTTTAAAAATTTGTATTTTAACTTTAGGACTGACTTTGTATAAGTGAGAAGACTTAGATAGGAGGAAAATTGTACTGCCCTGATTTTCTTTTTTTCTTTTTTTCTTTTTGAGATGGAGTTTCACTCTTGTTCCCTAGGCTGGAGTGCAGTGGCGCAATCTTGGCTTACTGTAACCTCCACCTCGTGGTTTCAGGCAATTCTCCTGCCTTGCCTCCCGAGTAGCTGGGATTACAGGCATGTGCCACCACACCTGGCTAATTTTTGTATTTTTAGTAGAGACAGGATTTCACCATGTTGGCCAGGCTGGTCTTGAACTCCGGACCTCAGGTGATCCGCCTGCCTCGGCCTCCCAAAGTGTTGGGACTACAGGCATGAGCCACCATGCCCAGTCACTGCCTTGATTTTCAAGTCTTATTCTGCCCAAACAATTGGTCATCTATTTAGATAGTGGAGTTAGCATTTAGAAGCATCAGTATCAAAAGGTGTGTGTGCCTTGTTTCTCTCCAGTTAGTTATGATGGCTCTGTTTTATCTTTAAGGCCTACAGAGCAGCAATGCAGACGCAGTGGAGCTGGATCTTACAGCTCTGCCAGTGTGTGGAGCAGCACGTAAAGGAGAACACTGTGTATTTCGAGGTATGTGAGTAGAATCATAACTTCAATAAAATCATAACTTCCATATATATATATAATGTGAACTGTTTCCTTTGTAGGCTGGAAGAGTTGGTTTTATGTCCTATGAGATAGATTGAAGTATTCTGTTAATGCAGGAATCCTTTAAAAATCTCTTAAGATATCCTAAAATCTTTATTCTACTCTACAAATGTGTCTCTTCTTTAGGAACTGTTTTCATATAGAGAATCAACCGTCTATAACTGCTGAACTTCTAAAATCGTAGAAGTTTTTAAGTATTCTTGGAATTTCACTCCTACTTAAAAATTGTTTAAATCCTAATTTAAAACAGACCTTCAGTCAAAATAATAGAGAGTCAAAACATCATATACACATAAGCTTTGGACACTATTCAACTTCAAGGGTTATTCTTTGGTCCAAGGAAGGATGTGACTATTAAGCTATCTTGTGCTTTTATTCTGTTCTCACTTATGAGGGGTACACATAGGACCTTGGTTTTGGAGGGTGACAGCTGTGTGCTTTGCTGGTATTTAACATACTTTAACTGCCAGGTTTCTTCTTTCCTTAGTTTTTCAATGATGCCAAAGAAGCTACTGATTACCTAAGGAATCTAAAAGATGCCATTCAGCGGAAGTACAGCTGTGATAGATCAAGCAGCATTCACAAGCTAGAAGACCTTGTTCAGGAATCAATGGTACTAATACAAAACCTATGCATTTTATAAGTATGGATAAGTGATTAGATTAGTGTTTTATATGAGCAGAACTTTGTATTTTATTGGCACTCTTGATATTTCCCACTAATTCAATTACACATTTGCACATTCAGTTTTAGTATTCTTTTGGCAACAAATACAACAAAAGTGTTTTTTTATGTGATAGCTTTGATATTTTAAGATGGTTTTATAGTGGGGTGTGTGTGTGTGCGCGCACGTGTGTGTTTAGTCATTCATTCTGCAAATACTTTTTAAGTTCTTAATATATCCTGGGCACTGTTTTAGGTTCTAGAGCTACAGCGGTGAACAAAGCAGACAAGAATCTCTACCATTGTGCTTACATGCTAGAGAGGGAGTTAGACAATAAATAGGATAAATAAGTAAAATTTATATAATATGTTAGGTAGCGTAAATGTCAAAGAAGAAAAAGAAAACCAAAGAAACCAAAGAAAGGAAGAGGGATACAAGACAGGGTGGAGGGGGAATGATTGAAAATTTAGACTAGGTAGTCAGAGAAGACTTTTCTGATGAAGTTTAATTTGTGTGAAGTGCTGAAGGCATGGAGAGTACAAGTCTTTTACTTCTTAAAATTCACTGTATTTATTACCTAGGAAGAGAAAGAAGAACTTCTGCAGTACAAAAGCACTATAGCAAGCCTAATGGGAAAAGCAAAAACAATAATTCAACTGAAGCCAAGGAATTCTGACTGTCCACTCAAAACTTCTATTCCAATCAAAGCTATCTGTGACTACAGACAAATTGAGGTACTTGCAACTCCTAGAAACAGACCAGTTTCTGTCATTATTCATATATTTTGTAAATGAGATCATATTGCTAACTAGTGATGATTTCCCCCCTCATAAAACAAAAAAAAATCCCAGGATTGAGTATGGAAAACAGTTAACAGTGACCTCATTGAGTTACTCTGCTCTT